AGGAGATTTGCTTGCTGCTGCAGAAATACTGGGATTCAGGCATCCCTCTGCCAATTGTTTTTGTCGACTTTGCTACATCACCAGAGGAGAGATGTGGCAAGATGGATTGAAAGTTGGTGTGTTACGCAACCCAGTAAACCATGCTGCTGATGTTGCTGCTGCTCGTGTAAGTGAAGCTAATAAGAAAGCCACAGGTGTTGATGGCCCATCATTACTTCGTGGATTCAGATTTTTTGAAACAGCTGGCCACTCAGTATTTGACATCTTTCACGATTTTCTTCAAGGTGTCAACAAAATTGAAATTAAGTTGGCACTCCCCCATTATGTTTGTGTGAAAAAGTATCTCTCCATTGCTAACCTCAAGTCTCGTATTCAATTCTTTGACCTTGGTAGTCCTGATAAGAAAAACAGACCAACAACTAATTTTACCGAGGATTATCTCAGAAGTATTAAGTCTAACCTTCATCAGAGTGGCGCCCAAATGTGGTGCTTGACAAGAATATTTCCTTTCTTATTTGCTGATTTGGTGCCGGATGAAGACCCGATTAGTTTACTGAATCAAGTCATGAGAATTGCTTTCTCTCGTGCTCACTCTGAAAGTATTTTGACAGATCTTGATAAGTTCATCGAGAAGCATCATACTCTTTTTATGCAAATTTTTCCTGGGAAACCCGAAGGTCCTGTGGATGGTGATGTTGCAGAACCTGGTCACGAAGATTGTGTTGATGCAGCTGATGAAGATTGTCTTTCTTCCCGTTCTTTTTCTTCATCAGCTGGGTCATCACAATCTTAAGGTCCAAATCGTCTAATTGTTTCACTCATGTGGAGCCAATGGTGATGCTTGTTTAACATCTTAATTATCTTACGCCGTTTCCTGCGTAGCTGAGGACCAGGAAACTGGATCAGGAATAACTTCTGCGTCATCATCTGAATTCTCTTGAAAATCCACAAACCCCTGACTTTGTCTTTCTTCCCGTTCTCTTTCTTCATCAGCTGGGTCATCACAAAGTCAGGGGTTTGTGGATTTTCAAGAGAATTCAGATGATGACGCAGAAGTTATTCCTGATCCAGTTTCCTGGTCCTCAGCTACGCAGGAAACGGCGTAAGATAATTAAGATGTTAAACAAGCATCACCATTGGCTCCACATGAGTGAAACAATTAGATGATTTGGACCTTTAATTCTCTATTGGTGTGCTAGGTATGAAGCCCGCCATTTCTCGTTTAAATTGATAGCAACTGTGGCACATAATCATCACAACTCGTTGATGACATTAATGGACATGCTTCAAATGAAGTTAGCTGCTGATAAACAAGAGCAAAAGAGCTATATCACTGTTGGTAAGCAAGGAACAAAGTTAATCTCCGTGACTTCCTCTATGCATTGTGAAGAGTTGAAAAAAGCTGGCCTTGGTAATTCACTGAAGTTTATCATGTCACTAAGAAAGTAGTCTGCATGGGTGTTGAGTTCAGACCCCTCTTATTTGTGACAGAAGAGTTGGAGAAAGTTGGTACACACCCCAGGTTTAGCCGAATTGAGGCGATTTATGTATCTAGCAATCAAGAGACTGTTTATCTCATCACAAAGCAGTGGAAGACTCTGAGATTTGATGCCAAGTTTTGTGCCTTTGAAGTGCAACCTGGTGACAATGCTGGGAACAATGTGAAGCAACCAGAACATCTTGCAGCTTACCGGCCATTGGCTCTGTGGAAAAGATACGATTCCAACAAACTTTATTTGGCTCCAAGAACCGTGTCTGAATAAAGTGAGCTAATTTTCATAAAATTTCTAGCGAAACGGTGCCTTTTGAATATCTTGCTTATAAAAGATGTCATTTTTCTCAAAACCATATATCTGAAAGTTTTTCAACATTGTGATGTGTTTAAATTGTTGTTCTCGTATTAGTTTTTGTTTGTTTGTTTCAGATGAGAGAATCTCAGGAAGACATTTGCTGACAATGAATGACAATGATTTCAGAGATATTGGACTAAATAAGGGCACTAGGCTAGATCTGTTACATGCCATAAATATTTTAAATAATGTAAGTGCTGTTTGATTGTAATTAATTTCTTTGGCTGCAATGGTACCAACTGCTAATTATTATTATTATTATTACTTTTTTTTCTAATTTAGTCACTTGATTCAAGAGCTGCCAATCAGGATGACCAATTTGATAATAATGATAAGGGTTCTTGTTCATCCATCTCCTCTGTAAGTGTGAAACTTGATAGTAGATATCCATTTCTTTCTTTATCATCAAGATGTCTGATTGTGGTATTATCTTATTTTTCAGTTTGTCACACAGCCTCTTGAATTTAATTCCTGTTCACAAGAGTCTGATGCTCGCCAGTCAGTTGTAAGTATCTGATTACTCCGAAGTGCATGCCTTTCTTTCATTTTCTTGTGGGAAGTAATTTTTGTGTGTTAAATGAACCTTTCATTTCTACACAACCTATTTCTTTAAAATCATTTTTTTGCTATTCATTTTTATTCTAATCATATATTTTCTGTCAGCTTTCAGACCCATCACAGCCAGCACACACAATAGAGATTCGCACATTGGATGGATCTGTAGTGGCTACAAGAGAACCAATAAAGCCTACAAGATTTCAATATGTAAGTGTGATTTCAATTTATACACTCCATGTAAACCTAGCAATTTTATAAAAGAACTATTTTTTTCAGGTTTCTGGTCAACCGTCTCAGCCCCAACAGCATTTATCAATATTTGGCTCCTGAAGTTCTTCACAAATGGAACCTCCTGCTTTTGTTAGAGTTGAAACATCAAGTTGCAGTGAAAATGTGAGTTATATTAGATCAGTTATCCAGGCGCACATGCTGTATATAGAAATTGCATTACTAGTTTTTTCTTTTAGATCTCTTCTACCCCATCCGAGCGGCATTTGGTTCCTGCGAGTACTGCAGTACTGGAGTGCCATGGACTCATGACAACGGTCCGCAGCAGCTCTCACACTTCATCACAAGGAAATTCTATCGGTTTTGCCAATCAAGAAGTATCAAGCTGCTCTGTATCGGTAAGGTTGATTTAAATTATCCATGCTCACATTGTGTACCTTGGAGTCTTATCTCCGATCTTTGCTTTCAGGCTCCTATTCACCAACGCCAGCAGCATCTATCTAGGATCATTGCGAGAAATGAACATCATGGTCAGTCATCGCCAGTCCCCAACAGCTCACAAAGAGGAATTTCTGATGGTCCTTCTAATCAAGAACAACCAAGTGGCTCACGAAGTGTAAGTGTACTTTAAATTATCTACACACACTATGTACCCTTCAGTTTTATTTTCATTATATTTTCTTTCAGCAGATGTCCGCAAGAAATGGTGATGGGAGAAACTTAAGCTCTATACCACAGAATGTTGGAAGGTCACCTCTTTTAAATGTAAACCAAAATGTTGTAAGGACTAGTGGAGTTGATAGGGTGAGTCTTATTCCAGCATAACTGCCAAAGCTTAAAATGCAAACCTCATGGCTTTACTTATGATACATTTGGTTCTAGGTTCCACCTGTTTTATCAGCTGATATACCTGAGCGTGAACTCAGAAGTTCTGCCGTTGATATCCTTAACGGTGAGGAAAGGGTAGGTTGTTTGAAAATAATAGAAGCACCTGAATTAGCCTTCTAAGATTACTATTCTATTACATCTTTCATTTCTTTACAGATAGGTAAACTTATAGAAAAGGCAGCTAAAGGCTTGCATGCAGTAAGTGACCCCTTCCCTCTTCTTTCTTTCTTCTGTTTCTGGCAGATTTTTTAAAAATAGGGTAATTAGTACTTTTATACCAATTATTTTCAGAAGTATGATTTTGCTGATGTTTTGCTAAAGTACTGAGGGGGTGCAGAAATACTCGATATTTTACAAAAAGAAGGAGTTGTTTTGGAGTCCAAGAGAAAAGTCCTGTCTACAATCCTTGTATCTTACATACAAGATGAGCCTGTGTGAGTCCTTTTAAATTTTTTTTTCTTTTTGGTCTAAGCTTTGCACTCTCTTTCTTTCCAGACCTAATTTGTCTGAAGTTGACATGAGACATGAAATGGCAATTCATCTTGTGATTGAATACCCCAAGATGCGGAAGCGCCTTATGAAGAGAACTGATATGCCTTGGGTTAGTTAGTCTTATTTATTACTTCAATAGCCTAAGAGAGGAATACATTACCATGGATTAATATTGTACTTTCATTTTAATTTTTAACAGCACCACTGGTTTAATGCTGATACAAACACAGGCTTTCTGGAGAACGCCAACGTAGGATTACAGAGGAATGATAAGAAAATGACTGGGAGAGGAATCAGGCGTTCAAAACAAATTCCTCGGCAACCAAGGAAGCTGGTGGAGATTCCATCCAACAGTGTAGACACCCAGGAAGGTGACCCTGATCCAATTGAATTTACCAGAAATGTAAGTTGGTTTGCTGTCTTTTTGCTTTAAAGAAAAAAAAATGAAATTGAATCTAATGCATGGAAAACTGGACCTAATTTCTTATCTTATTATTATTTTGAAAGTTTTCCCCCTGGTTCTTGAGTGCTACTTATAGCCTGTCTCAAATTATTTTCAGGTGACAAGCCAGGAACTTGGTTGACACACCAGGAGAGAAAACTATTATTCTCAATCTTATGCACATGACTTTTGGGAGGAGAGCAAAGATCGAATTTAAAGAATTAACTGCAGCATTTATCTTAAATCAATATCCACACTTTATGTCATATGAAGGAGAATTGGTATGAATTGTTTTCCAAGAAACAACAGCTGATGTGTCTTTGTACTACTATTAAATACGCATTGTTTATTTTCTTTCTGATTGATCAGGAGTTCAATCTTATGAAGCCATCCCATTCAGGCCTATTTGCCAGAAGTTACGGCACAGACTGGGTCCCTAAACTAATGAAAATTGCTAGAGAGGCTCCATGGCTGTGATTACTTCGGAGGAGATGGTATTTATTTTTTGAAATGTATTTACCTCTTTCAAGGCAAGGATTTTATTTAGTACCTCCCTTCTACAGCATTTTTTAAAAATCTTTTCTTTTAGATGTCCTCAACTCATTACTGGTGCTGCGAAAACTCCTGCCAACACTAAGGGGGACATACACCCAGGAGGCGCGTCAGCCCATACAAGGAGATGTTTCTGGCATCTTGCGTAATCCTGCTTGAATTAATCACATTTAACTTCTACCACCCGATTTGTTATTCAGTATTATTAGAGTTTAAAAAAAAGGGGGAATTGTTAAATGAGCAAAGACTGTGATAAGTCTAACAAATCTAGAAAGCTGTTAGGCCATTTCATTCTACTGTATGCAGATGGAGCAATGTACCTGTATCAAAAGCGATATGTGTCAGTAATGTAATTTACTTTGAGAGCTGTTTGAATTCACTTATCAAACTCGTTCCTTTACTTGGATTTCCATTGAAAGCAGCAATAATTCTGTTTTGCTTGATGCTGGACAGATATTTAAGGATCTTCATTTTTCTTGCACTGGTTTATACTATTTACTGCCTTATGTCATCCAACACCTATGCTGTCCTTGTTATTTCTCTTTAACTACGTAAGACAGATCATCTTGTTAGAAGGATATGTATCTCAAAATCTCCAGACTTACCATGTATATGCACTTTTTTGTGTACTTTTCAGATATTTATGTAATAATGTAGGAAACAAAGGTCTCTGTTGTGATGCTTTCATTTCGACTTATGTAAAGTTAGATCGTTGATTGACTGAAATACTTTAAATTTACAATAGACTCTTGTTGTCTTATGCCTAATATCTCAAGTTTCTTCTCGATTTGATTAAATGCGGGAGCATCCATTTATAATGCTAAAAACTGGAGAAAGAGGGCTGAAATAATTTGTTGTATAAATTGAAGTTTACGGGGTTTGGCGTCTGATGGAAAATGTCCCAGTACCAGCCCTTTCCTAACTTATGGACTCCCAAGGACAGACACTGATATCAATTGATAGTATCAATATTATCTTGTAATGTCTTCAGAACCAACAGGGTTCCCACGTTACAAAAAGGGTCTTATAAAATAAATAGTAAAAGAGTTTTCATTGTAATTGTTTATTTGTATTGCATACATAGACAAGGATTTCAAGAGCTCAGGGTTCTCTAAAGTATTGAGAGACTAGACCAAAAACTAGAACTGACACTGGAGTGGGTCTAGTCCACAAGAAATTCCCTATCTAATGACTGAAATAACACACCCTACAGAAATGAACACATGAGGGCTTAGCAAAAGTAGCAAGTAGCTTTTTCAATTAAACTATACAAAATGAGATTTTGATCCAAACCTTTAAAATGACAACAAAACAATAAACTCTTTTTCATGTTCTCCCTATGGGAGGCAACATAACAAACATTTAATGGCTTCCAAATATGTACTCTAAGCCTAATCTGGATAATTCAATTGTAAAGATTAACACCTAACATGCTTATTTTGTCCAAGCCTTATTGTTGATAAACCAAGCAAGACTGAGATCATCTATATTTGGCCAGACAGAAATCACTTCTAGGCCTAAAATTTAAAAACTAAAAAAAAATCTTGCAGGGTGACAAGTTGGAGGGGGGACGGGTGCGGACGTCACGGTTGCGTTTGCGCGTTGCGCGGGTGCGGGTCGCGGCGCGGCGCAGTCGTCTTCAGTCTCCTGGACCGCCTGGCGGTTGACACCGCCCTCCCGTTGACCACCTGAAAGAATTAGGAGCCGAGTCTGTGGTGGTGGTGGGGGCCGTCCGAGCGTCGGAGGGGAGGGTGCTCGGCACCACCAGGGCTCCTACCAAGTGGCATACCGGTCTTTGAGGGAATTTCTTATTTTCTTTCACTATTGCCAATGGCGGTAGCCCCCAAGACAATCGAATGCTTCCGATTTTTTCATGGTTTGGTTTTCTGTTTACTTCATTGAATTATCAATTAGTGCTTTGAATTCTCCAGCCACTGACTAGTTTGAATTTTTTAGTTGCATATGTTTCATATCTCGATACGTTAAGATACTTTCCAATTTCTTAGTCCTCTTAATTAGGTAATAAGGGAAATAATTTAAAGAGACTTAAAATTTAATTTAAAAAATATTTTTATTTGATGTTTGCAGTAACTTTGTACAAGAGTAAAGAGCATTTTATTGTTGCATCATAAGATTTTTATTTTTAATACCGGTTTTGAGGAACTACAAGGAAATTAGATTAGTATACATGGTTCGTACCTAACTTTGAGGACATGATGTTGGTTAATAAGGAGGCATTAAATAAATTGAAAGCAAACAAATGTATGAAAGATTGACATTGGTTTAGAAATGAATAAAGCACACAAGACAAACTGATGCAAGAAGTTCGACCGTTCGACAGTATAAAATTTGAACATGAAATGTCACTACAAAACACTCAGAAAAATATCACGTTGGCAGAAGGATATGGTTGTTGTAGCGATAATAGTTCTTTCCTTGAAAAATGGTGCATTGTAGACCAAGTGTTGGAATTCAACTGTAAAAAATTACCAAAAGCATTGACTGGATGTGAAAAAAAGTGAACAAGCATAGATATTAGATCCACAGACACAATTTAAATTCAGAATGATAAGAAAGCTACATTATCGTTTCCGAACCATAATTCTACTTGAGCTTCATTGGATACCCGCATCAATATGTTGAGCAATTCAATAGAATATTAAAATATTACAGTAACATGCAGATGCTCACAGGAGAAAAATTCTAGTAATTCAACTGAATTGATGCTTCCAGTCAATATTTTACCGATGTAAAGTTATTAATAGAGGTCAAACCTTAAACCTTAAAATAATAACTATCTTCATTCACGGGTTCTAGGTGCATTGACTACACAAAATTAAACATTGAAAACGTACTTCCATGTTCCATCGAACGGGACACGATAACCTAACCCACACTCGCGACTCTGGCTGGACTCGTTGCTGTTGACAGCGACGCGACTCCAGCAGCTGTCAGCATCAGCATCCATCCAGCCAGAGTCGCGAGTGCGAGTCGCGTCTCCTCCAGCGCCCAGCACCCCCACCACCCGGCTCCTATTTCTTTCGGGTGGTCAACCGGCTCGCCGGTGTGTTAGGTCAGGTTACTGCTACTGCGATTCAACTCAGTTCGGTTCTGCTCCCTGTAGTGTCTGTGCATCTAGTAATTCTGCAAGAATCTACTCTCCGCCAACAGGACATCCATCTCATCCACTCGACACCATCGCAACACCACACCAGGCACCAGCAACAATGTAAGTGTCTTCTATTAGAGGTTGTATTTATATATAGGGTCAATGAGACGATTCAGGTTTTGAGCGGTGAGTGACTTGGCCATTGGATTTAACTTCACCGTAGTCTATTCAATAACTGGTGCCCAGTATTTGTGGTTTTAAGCTTACTCTCTTCACAATTTACTCGGAACACAAGCCCAATTTTGCAAAAGATAATATATCACAAGACATGAGTAAGATAAATTATGTTGGTGCGTTAAGCCTTGTGTACTCTACAAATCGAAGAGTGTACATAGTATGCTCCAGTTAGAGCATACCATGTACACTCTTTGATTTGTAGAGTAGCCTGGCATTGGACTTGGCATTGGACGATTCACTGGACTTGACAATAATTGGTCTCCGTAAATTGGTTCAGATCGGCCTACCCTAAAGTGAGTCTCTTTATATCAACTACGATAACATATTCCAATGAATATTGTTTTATTCACTGGTTTAAAATAAAAGAATGACAAAATGTTTCTTAAATATAACTAATAAAATTGTGAATTCATTAGTTTAGAAGAAAGAGATATCGGACAGTGACTAAAGCATACGAGTAGGCAATTGAATATTACTCGACTGAAAATTTCACATTGGTGTGGCATCAGGGAGTTGGTGATGGCAGAAGGGTGCTTCATGAAGACGAACAGGAATACAGAAATTGCGTCTAGAGTACTGTCTGTAGTTTCAGGTGTACTAGTCACAATAACTACATATTTCAATACCAAACTGACACTTTTATCTAGAGCTACGCAATTTGGGGCCAAACATCCCAAGTTGAGATTTAAAAGTTTCCCTGTAGTTTTCAGTGCGCTGACTTCAATACTGACTTATAAATTGTCCCCAGATCCAAAATTTAACCATTTTTGGATCAAATTTTTTAAATTGACTAGTACATTGATTCTTGCAGCTTTTTGAGTGCTGATAACGAAAATTACTTCCATTTCCACTCCAAACTAACAATTGTTTTCAATCCTTTATTTTTACCTAATTTGGTGCTTCTCAAGATTGAGGCTTCTACCCTGGGTGATAGGAATGATACTTCCTACCCTCATTTTAGATAGTAACAACACAAACAAAGAAACCCAAACTCAAGGTGCAGTGACCGACAGTGTGATGGCCGCGTGCGAGGGAGGTGGCGATGAAGGCTGTGCCCCAGGTTATTCAGATTGGTGGTCATGTTCATGACGCGGCTGTTCACGTCGTGGGACGATGAGGTTTGGGATGTACACCGCCGGCGGTCGCCTGTTGGCGTTCCAGCAGCGCAAGCAGCGCGCTCCGGCGGCGGCGACAAAATGCACAATTTTTCTGTGCTCAACCAGTGTAGGCGCGTGAAGCGCAGCGCGGCATGCCGCGGCAGTGGGGACGGTAAGGGCTTCAACCTTGCACCTTGTGATGGGAACGATAGGATAGTCTTCCTTTTTTGTTTCCGGGGGTGATCTTTCGATCTGGATATGGTGCCACGCCGAAATCGGGCTCTTCCATCCTGTTCGAGGCCCAGAAAAGCTAAATCATCTACAAACGACGGCTAAGTGACGTCCGATCACCTTGGCAGGGAGCTCATTCGATTCGTCTCTTCAAGACGGTCATTTTGACACCAAGGTGCGCATCCTGGCCGCCTAGAAGGTCCTCGAAGTGCCCCATCCTCTACAAATGCATGCCTTACCGAGCAGATATCACCCTGGTTTGAGGGCCAGCCGTTTTTATGCGCGAATTTAATTTATTAATCGAAGTGACTACTGCGGGGCGCGCTCGCACGCATCCTGGCTGCCTTAAAGGTGCTGGAAGTGCTCCATCCTCTACAAATGCATGCCTTACCGGTCTGATTTCGCCGTGATTTGGTATTTGGTTGCGGCCTGATCGTCCTGCGGCTTGGTGGCGGCCTTGGCGAGCCTCTTGGCGGCCTGGTCGTCGCCGTCCTGCGGCTTGGTGGCGGCCTTGGCGAGCCTCTTGGCGGCCTGGTCGTCGGCGTCCTGCGGCTTGGTGTGACCCTTGCCGCCCTTACCGGACTGGCGGGCTTGTTTCCTGGGTCCTGCTCCATGGTCCCTAGCGTCCCTAGGCGACGTGCGTACGGCCTCGCTGTACGACCGTTTGCTGGGGCCGGAGACGGGGACGGGCGCTGCCAGGGCCAGGACACAACCCGGCCACGCGAGCGCCGCCTGCAGTCTGCACGGCAGCCCTCGAAAATTCTCGACGCGTTTTGAGCTCCAGAGTCGCCAAATGGGACTCAAACCGAACGTGTGACCCCACCAATGGATTGCTCGTTGGAAGGGCAATCCAACGGTGGGGTCATGCGTTCGATTCGGGTCCCGTTTGAGGACAGAAGACTGTGTCTAGACTAAACGTGTCACGGGTCTCCCGGCTCGCTGCGGTCGGGGCCTTTGTCACGTCCGCGACGGTCCGAAAGCGAACGCAAAGCACCTGCCCTCGCGCCCCACTGCCCCAGCCTACCCCCGCGCCGCAGCAGCAGCAGCCGCCTCACGCGCCGCACGTCCCCGCCCAGCCTGTACCTCAGGCTGGCGTACCCATCGCGTGGCCCGCACCCCCGCAGTACTACCACGCTGCCCTCTCTTGGCCCATGGCCGCACAGGGGATGCCCGCAGTGCAGGGGATGGTCGCGAGTGCAGGCCCAGCTGTCATGCCTACTGTTACTCCCGCGCCTTCGGGAAACGGGCGCTAGCCTCCCTGAGAGCTTCGGCTGACGGGACAGAGGAGGCGATAGAATTCACACCCGTTGGGTCCCCGTCGTGCAATTTGAAGGTTAATAATGTGCCCCTCCAGTGTATCCTTGATACGGGTGCGCACATTTCTGTGCTCCGGCGAGGTGTACTACCTGGACCAGCTGAGGCTCCTTCTAAATTGCGTTTGAACCTCGCTTGCCTGCTTCGCCTTGCTGCGGGGGATGGGCTATCACCGCATCGACGCCGAGCGTCGTTGGAGCAGCCCAGGACACAACGCGGCCGCGCGAGCGCCGCCTGCAGTCTGCACGGCAGCCCTCGAAAATTCTCGACGCGTTTTGAGCTCCAGAGTCGCCAAATGGGACTCAAATCGAACGTGTGACCCCACCAATGGATTGCTCGTTGGAAGGGCAATCCAACGGTGGGGTCATGCGTTCGATTCGGGTCCCGTTTGAGGACAGAAGACTGTGTCTAGACTAAACGTGTCACGGGTCTCCCGGCTCGCTGCGGTCGGGGCCTTTGTCACGTCCGCGACGGTCCGAAAGCGAACGCAAAGCGAACGCAAAGCGAACGCAAAGCGAACGCAAAGCGAACGCAAAGCGAACGCAAAGCGAACGCAAAGCGAACGCAAAGCGAACGCAAAGCGAACGCAAAGCGAACGCAAAGCGAACGCAAAGCGAACGCAAAGCGAACGCAAAGCGAACGCAAAGCGAACGCAAAGCGAACGCAAAGCGAACGCAAAGCGAACGCAAAGCGAACGCAAAGCGAACGCAAAGCGAACGCAAAGCGAACGCAAAGCGAACGCGGCGGCGCGCCTCAAACGCTGCGAGCGCGGAGCTCGGCGGACCAGCATCCCACGCGAAGGGCCGAAGGGCCGCGCGACGGTCTTTGGCGGCGGGGAGAAAAGGCCATGGCCGTCTTGGCACCGCCGTGGCGCCGAGCAGGACGAGAAGGCCCGCCTCCCGGTCGGTAGGGAGTCACCCTGTCTCTCTCGCGCTCTCATACAGAGCTCCATGAGTGCGACAGAGACAGGGAGTTGACCGGGCCAGCCGAGCGCAACCGGAGCAGCGAGGGGAAGGGGGACGTCACCCAGCTGCACTAGTGGACGAGTGGCAACTAGGGATGGGCACTATATGCAAGCGCATATTTTGCATAATTTCTAAACTTATTGCAAATGGAAAAATTTTGATATGTTTGGAGTCCGGGTGCATTGCCTGTCACATTTATAAATCGCATAATGGTCGCATAATTGGCCATTTACGCATAATGCGCATAATTCACGCATTTTTCTCGCATAATTCACATTTTGAACCCAAAAAGTGCATTTTGCTGTTATAATTGATTCCTAGGATTATTTCTTTTGGTCGGTTATCGTGTTTTTAGAAGTTTTAAAGCAGAAACACAAGTTAAAATTTGAATTTTTCGCGCGGTGCAGGTTGTCAGTGGAGGAGGTTTGGCTCGTTGCGTCCCACTGATCGAAGTTTCTAATATATTCACGATAAAATTCAGACTGTGACCATTTTGGTTTGTTTAAAAATTAACCCTTTTCATGCATTTTCCCCTCTTTTTCAATTTTTGACCTTTTTGCCCTCTTATTGCATTTTTTGCAGAAAAGAAGGTTTTTTTGCGCATAAAAAGCGCATTTTTGGGCCATTTTAGTCGCATAAGTCCCGCATAATAGCACAAAATTTTACCGCATAATTGGGTGTTTTTATTTGCATAAAGTGCCCATCCCTAGTGGCAACCCATGATCGCTCCGGCGCCCGCCGACCAGCGCGTAGGCAAGCCCGCCCGCACGACGGCGAGCGGGTTGCATACCTTCAGTACCAGTACCAGTAAGGGCTAGACCACATATGATCGTATGCCATTTCGGGCCCGACACATGCCCGCCTGCACTGCAAAACGGGACATGGTCGTCCTTATTAGGGGAGAACTTTACCTCGGCGGGGAAGAACCTCAAGCGGCTACATGCCCCTGGCTCGCAGAGTGCCTTCCCCGCGGGTTAGTGACAGGCCTTTCCCGTGAGGGTTGTGCCGTCCCTACCCTGGGCCAGCCTCTTTTGAGCTTGACCGAGTCCGGAACCCGCCT